GACTCGGGAAATCAAAATAAAACTAGTGATAACAAGGCACTCTGAGGGATATATTCACATGTTATAGAAACGAAAATTATGGTGTATAAAATTGATTTTAAGATAAAAAATAGACGATAAAGAATTAACTTGATGGAGCTCAAACTCAAAACACAGCAGTAACAAACAGGATATAATTTTATTTATTTTAATTAATATTTAAGAAATTTGAAATCATTTGAAAATTCATTTAAAAATAAATGTGTTAAATAAACATACTTATACTTTAGATGGCAAAGTATTTTTCACAAATAAATAAATATTTAATAAAAATATAATTAAAAAGGAAGTAAACACTGTAACCAACAGGGCACTCAGTATTCTGGGAAGTTTGTGTGCATTAATAATTTTTTCAAATAAAGCCAAGGTAACACTCATTTTACATACAGCACACAGTGAAAATGGCATGAATATGATAGTGGGCAAATGCATAAAGCGCAGCATAATTTAAAATCACGAGTTTAAAGTTTGTCGATCACGCGTCTCCAGTGAAGCTGAGCTCTCCTCCTGTCTGTATTCAATTCAAACGGATCGACCGTCACTCAGAGAACACGCAATCATGCAGGTCACATGCACACTTCACAAGATCTCACAACTGGATCCGACTAAGTTTGCAATGTTTTTGAAATTAGATGTTTATTAGACATTCAAAGATTTGTTTAAATTATATAAATGCCTATTTGCTGAATGCTGATGGCAAATGAGAAAGTATTATAATGTTTGCTTTTCTATTAAGAAAGTATTATAATGTTGAGGAAAAATGTGAGCACTGTGTGCTCAGGCGCTGCCGTTCTCAACGCCGTCAAAATAAAAGTCCCGCCTCGAACGCATTGGCCAAACAGGAAAACTTATCGGCTGATGCCGATATTTAAAAAATGACAAATATCGGCTGATATATCGGCCTTGGCGATATATCGGTCAACCACTACTTATGACCTCACTCTCCAACATCCGGGAGCGCTGCCATATAAGGCAGAGGTCACCTCCAGATGGAGCCTTACTCATAATGGATTCTTGTAGCGAGTTCCTCCGTTAAACTCTGCTCCGTAAGGGAGTGCTTGAGTGATGGAAGGGTAGTCCAGGGTTCATAAGAAGGAACTGAACTGGACTCAATAAGTGCACATTATCACCTCAGAGAGCAAGCTCTACACCCTTCCAGCCACCTAAATTCAAGAGCTAGTGCTCAAAACTCTGGATGAAACTGGATCCATTCACAAATTGTAGAATCTGGAAAATGTATTAGGTTTAGCCCAACCTGCAGCTCTACAAATGTCCACGAATGAGGCACGATTTGCTAAAGCTGATGAAGAAGCAACAGCCCTGTTTGAGTCTCTGGCCTTATAGGCCTTAAGGATTGCATCCACAATCCAGTGGGAGATCCTTTGTTTGGAGACAGCATTCCCCTTCTGCTGACTTCTGAAGCAGACAAAGATCTGTTCAGACAGTCTGAAACTCTGTGTGCATTCAAAATAGATGCCTAGGGCTCGCACCGGGCACAACAGAGACAGGTCAGTCTTCATAGAGAGGGCACTAAGTCCAACTGACTGAAGGGGCTCAAACTGATCTCTCTGTAAGGCCTGAAGGACCACTGAGAGATCCCAAGAGGGAATGAGGTGGGACCTTGGAGGATTCAACCTTTGGGTGCCTCCTAGGAATCTAATAACCAGATAGTGCTTCCCCACTGATCTGCAATCTACAGTGTCGTGGTTCGCTGCAATAGTGTCCACATACACCTTGAGGGTAGATGCAGACAGACACCTGTCCAGGCCCTCTTGGAGGAAGGATAGCACAGATCCGATGCCACATCTCCGAGGATCCTTCCCATGGGAAGAACACCAATTCATGAAAATGTGCCATTTCAGGTCATATAGCCGCCTCATAGAGGGGGCCCTAGTCTGCGTAATGGTATTCACCACTGTGGGTGAAAGACCTGTGAGTTCCTCTTGGTTGTGTCCAGGGACCCGACATAGAGGTCCCAGAGATCTGGGTGCGGGTGCCAGATTGTGCCCTTCCCCTGGGGGAGAAGGTCCCTCCTCAGGGCAATCCACCAGGGAGGAGCTGATGCCAACAGCACAAGCTCCGAGAACTAAGTCTTGTTGGGCCAATAATGTGGCACAAACAAGAGTTGTTCCCTGTCCTCCCTGACTTTGCACAGCGTCCGTGCAATGAGGCTTACTGGGGGAAATGCATATTCCATGTCCCTGTATGTGCAAACCAACTCTCATGAGTGAGCTAAATAAGCCAGTCATCAAGAATGAGAATGAGAATGCGAATGTCCACTTCCCTAAGAGGGACAAGGGCAGCCTCCGCGACTTCCGTGAAGACGCGAGGAGACAGGGACAGCCCGAAAGGAAGAACTTTGTACTAATATGCCTGTCCTTCAAAGGCAAAACGAAGAAACGACCTGAGTCTTGGAAGGACCAAGGCATGAAAGTATGCATCCTTCAGGTCTATTGCTGCAAACCAATCTCGGTACCTGACACATGTTAACATGTGTTTGAGGGTTAGCATTCTGAATGGTGTTACGCTCCTCTCCTGTCTAGGGGTTTGCGAGGGGAAGTAGCAAAGAAAAAAGCATAAATTAAAAAAACCCGGCAAGAACACACTTCAGTCCTCTGTCCCAGAATAAAGATGACACCAATTCAGATGTATGCAAAAATTGAGATTTATTTACAAAAAATGACAAGAAGTTTAACATAAAGAGATAGGGAGCAATGGCTCAGGAGAGAGCAAGGCCTAAAATAACTAACAATACGATTAACTAACTAATTTAGGGAGCAGCACTAACTTACCTCAAACACCCAAAAGAAAAGAGAAATGAACATAAAACTTCCCTAACTCCCTAACTGAACCGAAAACAGGGATGAAAGTAGTATCCAAAGAAAAAGGCACTCTCTCCCTGCAGCTTCCCTCCTGGGATAATATAACTCACACCAAGATACAGAAAAAGGAAAATAAAAAGATTATATTATCTGCTATCTATCTTTAGCTTTTCAACAAAGCAAAAACAAGGTCAGATATTATCTCCAGACACAACTCACCACAGAAGCACTATTAGCCACTTGCTAATACACAACTCAAAATCTGAGGGTGACAAACAACAATCCACCAAAGAGCTCAGTCTGGAGCAGGGGAGAAGTGTGTCTCTCTGCAGCAAATACTGGACTGCCATCATATACTCCACTCTCACGGTGCATTCCAAATGGGATATATTGCCCTCCGAAGGGCACTTTGGAGTGAAAACAATCATGGCCACCATATTGAAGGGTTGGTCCAAACCGAAGAGCTCAAAACTGGCCACTTCAAAGGGCCCTTCGGAATGAAGGATTTCGAAGGGTACAACTGATGGACACTTCGGGCTCCCATGATCTTTTGCACAGATTCTTTGCAAGATGACGGCACCTCCGTGTGGGCACGGGATGATGACGCAGAAGGGCACTTCAAGGAACAGTTGTTTGGTCCCCTACACCCTTCAACCCTTTGAAGCTCTCACTCCGGAGGGTAAACCCTTTGAAGGGATTAGAGCATAGGGATGATCCCTTCTGAAAGGAACGCAGGGCCAGCCTCAGGCACGCTCTCATAACGAGCTACAGGTGGTGGTGATTCAGCCTGAGAAGGAACAGTGGGAGAGAGGGAGAGAGAGAGAGAGAGAGAGAGAGAGAGAGACAAAGCACAACACAGGGCACACAACCACGCCCACATATTTGTACCAGAAAATAACAACAATAATAATAACAATACAATTCAGGGACGTAACAATGGGAACTTCAACCAAGCGAGAGTGCTCAGGACAGGGTGGAGGAGTCCACTCAAGCCTCATGCTCTCTGCTGCCCAGGTAAGCACAGCTGCCATCACAGCGTCAGGCTCAGACTGACACACAGCACCCAGAAGTGCTGGTTTAGTTGAGTCATCCACTTCTGATCGGTCAGACCCACCCTCCGATGCTGCGATAGACAACTCATCCTCATTGCGAGCCCCAAATGAGAGATCGAACCCACACTGAGGCGGGTTCTCAAACTCACCCCAAAACTCTTACTGGAGAACACATGCGGTTGGAGGAACGAGAGGTCCATGGGAATTCATTGTATTTAGCGTACAAACTTCCTTAAGCACTTCCCCTTGGGGGAATCCCCACTGCCATTTTGAAGTGCATTCCACTTCGTTAAGTGGATGAGGGAAGTTTATATGGACAAATCCTTGAGCCCTCGATTTTGACATAGGGAGCGAGTCTACTTCATATGTACACTTCAGGCTGCACCATAGACCACAATGCAACACGATTGTGACATCATCGCAGATCGAGTTTAATTTATCCCCACCCCAAACAACTCTATAATATATAAATTATTTTTTAAAAACATTTAACAGCCCAAACATGCCTATATACATGTGGAATGCTGCAACCAATTCAGCCCACTGCAAAGGTTCCGCCAGTAATGATATACATCCGAGTATGCAAGGTGGAGGAAAGTTAGCGAGTGAAGGGCATAAAAAATTAACTGGAACGCAGCCACTTTAGTAGTATTTATGATTCACGGAATGTCATTATTTTTGATTGATGACTTTGACCTTTGACCCGCCCCCTTAGGGGTTAACCTTATGATCTTTTTTAATGACCGTCATTAACCTGTGACCTCCCTCTTGAAGTAGGATATTGTCCTTTAATGTTCACAGGATGTTCAATGCCATCTGTATGTAACATATATCCGGAGTGACATATTTAACCTGTGACCGCCATCATGAAGTAGGCTAATGTCCTTTAATGTTCAGCGGATGTTCAATGCCATCTGTTTGTATCATATATCCGGAGTGACATATTTAACCTGTGACCTCCATCAAGAGTTGTGCAATAGTTCATGTGCGCTGCAGACCCCTCCCATTTACTACAGACACTATAAAGAGCAGTAAGTCAAACACTTTCCACATCACACTTTCACCATGTCTCAAGACGCTGTTTCACAATGTGATTACGTTCCTTTCAACCTCGAGTCTACCGACGATAATGCTACCGACCATATGTCAACAGCGGAACCCCGCTCACCCGACCTGCACAAAGAATGGTTGGATAAATTCTGCACGGAGTTGGGGTACCGCAACCTGACCTTCCTATCGGATCTGTGCGTCACCTCTGCAGCCAGCAGGGGCTTTGATACTACAGACGGCTGTTTCAGCGGAGTCGGGTTCAAAATCATAAAAGCTACGATCGTGCTGTTGCAACACATCGTCGACAAAAAGCTGAGGGAGGAGTGTGAGGGTTGTGCAACGGACCATCCGAGCCAGCTGCAACACACCTGCCTGTTTGAGCCTCCCGCCTATTATTTCAACTCACGCTTTGACAAACTGTGTCGCATGCTGTTCAAGCCTGATCTTCAGACCATTATCGACTTCACTCTACGCCGCTGCGAGTTGAAGTCCAACAACAGTCTGAGGATTCAAGGAACTACCGGAGCCATCCTCCACGAATTAAGAGACGAACCATTCATCGTCGCGAAGCTACAAGAAATCAGGGAAAAGCTGCTGGACAAGGACTACAAGAAAGTCATTTACGACGCCGTGGATCTCTGGCAAAGCAGCGTGTCATTGCCTGCAGTGTGACCATGACAACATGGGATCTGTGTGTAGTGGAAATAATTTTTTCAGCGACGTCGTGTTTATGCCCTGTTATAAAGAACAAATGATTGAAATGATGCTTACGGCCATCGAGCACACGTGCGACCCCGAGAAAGATCACGGGGTACAAAAGAGACGTATAAAAAATCTCAAGAAACAAATGGACGTTATGAGAAGATCATCATATTCGTGGGACATATTGATCGACATGTGTGTTAACAGAGCCGATCCCCCCCCTGTAATGCTCAAAGAATTCTAGATGAGATATCCGCAGCAGGTAAAGGGCTAGGAGTTAGTGAGGTCCTGTGTATGTGTACATATGTAACCGATGCATGTGTGAAGTTGGTTTCCAAAAATGAGAAAAACATGGTCTGCGAAATGGTCGAACAAATGATTGAAATGATGTTTACGGCCATAGAGCATGCGTGCGACCCCGATAAAGATCACGGGGTACAAAAGAGACGTATAAAAAATCTCAAGAAACAAATGGACGTTATTAGAAGATTATCAGATTCGTGGGATGTATTGATTGACGTGTGTTAACAGACCCGATATACCCCCCTGTAATGCTCAAAAAAATTCTAGATGAGATATCCGCAGCCGACGAAGGGGTGGGAGTAAGTGATGTCCTGTATATGTGTACATATGTAACCGATGTGTGTGTGAAGCTGGTTTCCAAAAATGAACCGGTGGATGTCGACAAGGAAAATGAAGGCGACGTGTTTCAAAACTTGTACGGCGAAGTGAAGAAGAAAGCTCATACCGTATTTAAATATAAAGTAGGGGATGTGGTCAGGATTTCTAAAGTGAGAGGGCCATTCGCCAAGGGTTATGAACAGAACTACACCAAATAATTTTTCACTATCACCGCATGTATCCCGCGTGATCCCCACGTATATAGACTGTCTGATTATGACAGTGATGTCATCGACGGCGTGTTTTACGAAGAAGAATTACAAAAAAATAATCGCTAGCAAAAACAAAGCATTTAAGGTGGAAAAGATTTTAGGGGTGAAAAAACAGGGACGATCTACACTAGTTTTAGTGAAATGGCTAGGATGGCCTTCGAAATTTAATAGCTATATAGACAAAAAAGCTTTGGTGGACTTGCAAAAACCTTAAAAGTGTTGCCCTTACTGTAAAAGATCATTTGAGTAAAGGTTTACCATGGGAGACCACGGTTTCTACGTTACGTTGCCGTGCAACGCTTCTTTGTCGGTTTATCCTGAAAATCGCATATCTAGTTATACTTAATAAATAAAGTCCAAATGGTTGCAAAACCTAACGTTTGGGTAAGCTTCTATGAGAAACTAGCCTCTATTTTAGGCACGAAACCTGACGAGCCTTTAGGACAGTCGACCTACCATGAAGACGCAGATTTTACAAGGAGCATTATTATAAACGCCCCTCATCAAGCCGATATCAGCGGGGGTTTCTATACGATGTACGTTTATACCGACATCATCGAATACCAATCAGTCGGTGATTCGTACGTACCCCTTTTAAGATGTGTTCATATAATGAGGGGAAACAATGATACCGTCAGTGTTAGATACGACAAACCCCATTACGCATCGGTCAACAAGTCGCTCATCACGGACATAGCCGTAGAATTAAAGGACGACCAAAACCGTGAAATACCATTTTCTTACGGGAAAGTCATTGTAAAACTACACTTTAGGCCAGTGAAACAAACTGTGCTTTAAAATGGCTTATTATTGCCGGCGGATACGGGGCAGGCCTAGGAGGTTTTTTCAGAGGTCTGTTTAGGATGGCCATACCGTTGTTACCGTTGTTAATCAGCATAGCTAAACCACACCTAAAAGCGGCTGCTAAAAATATAGTTTCCGACGTCGTCTCGAACGCTATGTCTAGATCGTATAACGATGATCCTAAAGCTCAAGACGGTTCGGGACTTATGGTCATGGCCCGTAAGAGAAAGTCTAAA